CGATTGAAAACCATGGGACATTACAGAGCTTTTCCTTACTAGTATGGAACTTGTCAATGCCCCGTTGAGTCATACGTTTGCACTATCCAGGGTTTGTATACTATGACTTGACAGCTGTTTCATGCCTATTAGTTTTTAACGATACCTTAACTGGGATCGATCTATGCGAATATAACTTGAGAATTACAATAAATTCCCAAAAATACCCTGCAATCCACTGATATATGACTAAGCATACTCAAGTCAATAGATCGTAACTCAGAATTTGCTAAAAAGAAACCCTTTATTACATTTATATTTACAACAAACATTCGAATTAAACAAATGAATAATATCTAAGATCTCTATTTCTGGTTATACAAGTGTTAATGAAGTGTAATGCCTGTCATTATAATACTTATTTACAGAGTATAGACTTATTTTGTACACCTTCAGTTATACTTATTCAGTAAATAACGGTAAACCAAATCCAAAGTTTCAAGTCATAGAAGGCTAAAAATAGCTCGAACAGTATTAAGCAAAATGTATTACTACTAAGATATAAACTCGGGGGAAAGAATGGAGATATAGTATTTCAGATGTGAACTTTCCTGAAATCCATACATTCTTTGAAACGCTTTCCTTTTAAATATCACACAACGAAAATAACTTGTTATATCAGTAAATTAGAATAAAAGACCGTTCAACGAAAAAACGTTCTTGTCAATGATATTATTCAACTAAGCTATTTAATCGTTTCTACTTTAAATCAACGAATGAATTGGTATGTTGAAAAATGAAGTATACGAAGTGTTTGGAATTTCAGGCATTTGAAAAGGTGATGTAATGTATGCCAGTCGATCAGTCAGTTTGCATCATCGTATAACCTGGGAAGTATGTACATCGGCTCAAGTTGCCGAACCGGAATGAAGTTTTCGGGCTATATACCGGAATAGCAGACGTGGTAGTAGTATCGGTGGTACTAGGAAAGACTAGACATCGAAGTTACAATTCGAGAAAATATAAATCGGTGAAATAAAAACAAAAAGAAAATTGTGAGGGATTCAAGAGCTGAGAATCTGAGGCAAGACAAAGAATGGACGCACGTGAGCCATTGCAAACGATTATGAGCCGTTTCAAAGTCCCTAACCATTGGTTACGATGATCGTACAGACCTCAACCAGGTAGTCAATACCCATTTACATGGCTAGGCCCGATTGCCAACGACTTCATGGACTGAGACCATGTTTTGATTTGGCCGCCCCTATCTTTCTTTCAGTCTAATCCTACGCGAGAAAACATCGCCTGTGAAGGTAGGCGATGTCCCCAACACCTCAATTGATGAAGATTCACTACCTCACTAATCAATTTCCCACTTTTATTTGGTGCTTTATTCTTAATCTAGACGTTGATTACTACATAGTCCTAAAATACGTGAGCAATGGTTCGTAGACATCTATGATTAAATACCAGTAACCCAAGATATTCTCTACTCTTAATAGTCCTATTTCACATCCAAATATAGAACGGAACAAAGTGCTGCGCAGTAAACTATCCCCTTGTTTGGAAGACGGATCTTCACCTACGTCACAAGTGACGTAAGTTAGCAGAAGACAATCGAGCCCTTCGAAGTCGTGCAACATTTTGTCAGATACCAGACCATCAGTATCTATGATAAAAGGAGGGGTCTGTGCATTCAGCTACTTCACTCCCCATCACTAATTCATGCGGTGACGCAAGCCATTACTGAAGTGAGTAGATGAATCTTCTGGTAAAAGATCAACCCTTAAAAGTCAGACGATAAGTGTGTTATTCCTAAAAGCATATGTATGACAAGGTTATATAGAAATAGAGAAAGCGGACAACTTTGACAAACACGACTTAAAGTAAACAATTCCGGTGACAGTTCTCTATAAGCTCTGACTCCACCATTAGTGTTCAAGTAGAGAGAATGTACAAAATCAATGTACACCTCTTTGTTACGCCTTTCGACGACAAACATTGTCACAGAACTCTAGGATCAACAGAGTCGAACGCCTCCTTGAGGTCTAAGAGGACGAATATAATTAGGCGTTGAAAAGTTTGTTTATGTTTCAGAATCTGCCGAAGGGTTTATACGTTCACGTCTAGGTCTGAAACCATACATTTTTGCTCAAGTTTGCCCTTCACGAGTTCTAGATAGGCGTCAAAGTATTAGTGAGGTTAACATTTTAGACACTAAATTATCCCTTTGTGACTGTTACTGGGCGATTTTTGTCCTTTCTTAATGACTGGGACGATTACCAATCGAAACTAGTAAGGTGGAACTTCGTCCAATTCTCAAATTTTAGCTAAGATTTCAGTTAATCTAACTGCCAAAACTGGACCACCACATTTTAAAATCTCAGAGGTTAATCCGTCAAGTCCTTCTGCTCCCCATCACTTTAGATCACTTATAGCCACTTTAGCCCCACGAGGAGTTAGAAAATTTACATCAGTTCATTCGACCTTGTGGAGCAGGTTATATTAGCTAAAGAAACCAAGCACTTTTCAAACAAATGTTTTGGTATTGTTTTGCTTGGCTCTCAAACGCATGATTAAGAACGGTTGGTGGCTCAATACTAAAAAATTATCCAATCTTCGGTCACAACATACCTTTAAAAATCATCTAAATGGGCCGTGGTTGATAACGAATGCACTGCAAAGAAGTTAAAACCCATCCGTTCAGGTCATAATTTTGTGTGCAAAATGTTGCGTCTCAGATCCCATTCTACAGTGGCTCTAATAAATAATTTTTCAAACTCTGTAAATTAGTTATTATTTTTTCCGGTATTTTTCTAGACTCTTAAATCGTCTGTTATAAACACCGTCGCACGCTATCAAATAAATTCTTCTCCTTTTTCATACTCATCAAGTAGGCAGTCATTTACCATACGTTTGAGCTCTATCTTATCATTTTCTAACTCATCATACATTACGCTATCCTTTTTGATGCCTAAAATTTTCAAACACCCCATCGTATAATTGTCTTTTGGTTTTTCAATAAACCAGTTTATTTGTCGATTCAACGTAGACACGATTGTGATATCATTGATAAGATAATTTTTATATCACCTAAACTTGGCTTTTTAGGTTGTATTCTTTAACAGTAATTAAACTAATTTGGTTATTTTGACTAGAAGTAAATTGCCTGTTTGACTTTTAATCCTTTTATATTTAAACGAAAGCCTCAATTTATTCTGGTCTCATATATACATAACATACTGTGTTTACAGACATAATTAAATGATATACTTGATACAATACATATGAGAGAATGCACAGGTTTCGTAGAATTTGTTATTGATGATAGTGATCCTATATATATAACCCTTTATTACCGGCTTTAAGCCACAGTTTTGTATGGCCAACCGTGTAAAGTTAGCATATTAGGTACCAGTAAATTTCTTAAACAGGCAAATAAATGGGAGAGAATAAACACTAAACAGCAAAGTTAGGGATAAATATCAAATAGCGTTTCACAAGACACGCCTCTTAAAAAACAAGCTATTGATGCTTCATACTAGACAAGTTCAGTGGTCTTGATGAGATTTATTTCCAAACTATTCGAAATCTGGAGGATATATTTACTTAGTTATATGTAACCTAAAAGCTGACACATATGTGCACCTCTTTTCGTTCTCAGTGAACGTTATCACAGCAGGATAAATTTATGAAGATTATTCTCATAGTAACAGAGTTGATAACAATATCAGTATAGAAACAAAAACGTTTAAGATTATTCGGAACTCAGTTTCTAGGGCTGGACAAAAGCGGATGTACCTACGTTCTTGTGAATGATATTAAATCAGGTTACTCAAAGAATATAGTCATTGAAAACGATACGATCAACAGACAAATGGTAATCAAAGCCGAAAAAATGGAAGGACGCTACAACTAATTCAGTCCACAAATAAGAAACAAGAAACTGGCTTTAGTTTGGGTAATCGGTCGACAAAACGTAGAACACTTTTCAGTTTTGTTGCATGTGGGTGACGTTAAAGACAAAAGATCCGTAAAATAAGTGACTAGATAGGGTTAACAAAATATGAAGAAGAGGAAGAATTCCTGCTCTATGGGGAGACAGTACTGCCGCGTCACTAGTGGAGGACGACTTTGGTAAGGCTCAAGTGTTCTCAAACTACTTCAGCAATGTATACACCATAGAAGCAACCTTCCCATCAGCGCATACAGATCCCTCCACACATACACTGAATAGCGTGACCTTTAAAGAAATCGATGTCTTTGGTCTCCTAATTAGGCTTGACATAGGTAAATCCACGGGGCCCGATGGATTACATCCTACGCTACTGAAGGAATTATCTAACTTCGTTGCGAACCCTTTAATTATATGCTTTAATCTATCCGTAACGCAGGGTTGTTTACCCAAAGACTGGAAAAACGCCATAGTAAGTCCTGTCTTCAAAACAGGTACGAAACACAAACCTGAGAACTACCGCCCGTTAGCCTAACTAGTGTGGTTGTTAAAAAATTATTCAGAAGGAGCTGTTTAAGTATCTCGATAAAAACCGGATCCTCTCGGAGAAGCAGCACGGCTTCAGAATAGGTTATTCTTTACTCACTAACTTATAATGGCTCGTGAAAGCTGGTGGCTCTTAAGGACCAAAACTTACCTGTAGACGTAGCCTTCATTAATTTCAGCAAAGCTTTTGACAAGGTTCCGCACAACCGGCTGTTATATAAGTTAAGAAATGTCGGGCTTGGAGGCAATCTATTCATGCGGATAAAAGACTTCCTAGTTGTGCGCCAACAAAGAGTTCGGGCGAACTCAAAGTTATCTAGCTGGAAAACTGTGATTAGTGGACTGCCCCAAAAGCACAGTTTTGAGGCCAGTGCTATTCCTCTTGTATGTAAATGATAGATTTCTTGGGTTTATGGCGCTTGTTTCCTAAAATATTCCAAAAAAATTTTCGAACTCACAAAAAGTCAGCAAACTGAGGTTTGAGAAATAACGGGTAAAACGCATTACCCATTTTGCTTACCCCATACAATTCCAGAAATGTAATTGTTCAGTGCCTCTTCAATAGTGAAACGATAACTTTTATCTGACAGAAACAAAGTATTCCTGGCATCAAAATGTAAAATTAATTTTCTCCGTGGCTTCTCATCAGCCATTTAAAGTGCGCAACGTTTCGAGACGTCCCGCTAACAACCTTGAAGTACTATTCGTTTAGCCTTTCAAAACAACATTACATTTACGTTGAGCTTGTCACTGTTCATGCTTATCAATTTGATTCGTTATGCTTAAAAATCGTTTAAGTTTCACATTTTGTTTTAGCTTGTTGTGATGTAAGCAGATGTTATTTACGAGGTTTACAATAAGTGTGATTTATCTGGACTTGCGTTGCATAATGACTTATTCGAATTTGTGGTTTAATAGACTTTCAACTTGTCTGTCATCAGCCTAATAAATTTTCAACAAACACTGTGTGGATATTTGATCGTTATACGGAGTCACACAATCTACCTGAAATCATGTTGCCTACAATTTTCATCGATTTTCAGTTGGCCTTAATTTTAAGTGTGCATTATTGCTTGCTGTTATCAACCGCTTTCATACCTTAAGATAACAGTATCTTATACGATTGCCTAACCATCTACTTACATCTTAAACGTTCTAGATTCTCCCTAACATACCTCTATATACATACCATCAATGTATAACTTTCCTTCAGGCTAGAATGGGAATCTATTAGTGGCTTCCAACTTCGATGGCCCGAAGAAATCCGACTCACAAAATCGTATAAGTCGAGAACCGATTTCTCTCGGACAAAAAATCTTTCACTTGGAAATAAATACGTTGACTAGAAGATGAGGGGCATGTTCTCGTGGACCGTGCCTCATTACCTATTAACCGAGGCAAGTGTTAGGGGATTTTTTAAATTTTGGAACCTTTTTTCGCAAAAAACATTGCCAAAATTTATTTCATATTGATTGACAAATTACGGCGTTCAGTTTTAGTCAAAACTTTCCGTTGAGTAGGGACTAATTATTCGGCGTTTAACTATCCCATCAGGGGGTCGGCTTATTTTCCCGACGTTTCGCTACAATTGATTGCAACCTCCCGTAAGACTGATGTTTGTCATTGTCGTTGCATGGGTGTATAACACTAGATACAATCCACTGTGATTGGCTCTATGTTTGAAAGATGGTTTGATGAATCTAGATCCATTAGAATATCATCCTATTAGTGTAATACATCCTTCATAGTACAATATCAGAGCATCGTTTCTTTATTCTTAAATGAATCAATGAATGAAAGAGATCTGCTACTTGAAGCTATTGGGTTTGTGAAATGGGTAAAAAGTCAAGTTCGAAGTTTTCCATTATGTGTAATTTTTTACCAATGCATTTTGAGGAGCGTTATATAGGGCCAGTGAAATTCCACCAGCCCGAGCCAAATAATCTTGCATTTGGGTCATTGAATATCAAACAAATCATCCATCCTCATCAAGAACAAAGACAGCCAACGCACATATGGTTAATCGTACGCCATGGACTGGCCCGTGCGATAGTGGTCTTACCTTCGCTTGTATCTACCTTAACTAATATACTTTGTAATAACGTCCTCTATGTTGTACAGTGTTCAAAGCATCTATGGTACCATGATACGTCAGTGGGGTAATCCACGAAAGGTGCTGGCCACGAGGTGTGGCTTTGAATTTAGCTGATTCGTCACACCATTCCCGTCTAACTCGGGAAGGTCTCTAATTATTTCTATATAGATCATCTACGTTGGTGATCTACAGTTACTTCGGTAATATGTTGCACTGTGCACGTGCTTGAGTGAAATGCTTAGGTTCGGAGTGTGGCAATTAAAACTAATGAGAATAATATCGATGCTGCAGAAGTGTTTAAAGAGGATATATTTACCGCTACATGGACTAAATCTACTTCGTTGGTCTCTAATGGGCCTGTTGACGTTTATTGAACGTCGTGTCTTCAACATGGATTTCCTTATCACCTTATTTCATATTGACTTCCAATTTTTATAGTTGACTTTCAATTTTTCAGAAATGGATGCTTTGACAAATCAACATATGTGTGATCAGAATGCTTGAAATGCATTGAGCTGAAGTATGACATAATTAACGATTGATAGTGAAAGAGAATAGTAAACACTGACTTAAGGGGACTCAATTGTTAGTGAGTTCATTATGCAACAACTCTCATGAAACATTCTGTTCACTTTTTTGTTATATCATACTACATTCCGTATTATTGGACTTTGAGACGTCAAACTCATTCAAAAGTCACATATGTGTTCGTGAGTTTGTGGTCAGTTGATATTTTGTTCATGCTTTAATCTTCTCTCTTATGTTTTTTAAATATTTCCACTGACGTATTTTTAGAAGTCATTGCAGATGAAGTTAAACAAATTGTTTGTAACGTACGCGCAATATAATTATCATTACGAGTAAATAGCACGTATAATAGGACAATTTACAATGGGTTATAAGATAGCAAAAACATCCCTTAATCGGCGATCCACTTAAAACGTCTAATCAAAATGATAGTGTTTCCAATTATCTTTACTAATATATTTTTCTGTCAGTCACGTTTTCTATTTTCGTTGGGTTTTTCGTTGTCCTTGAATAGGTAAAAATGCATTAGGAGTAGAAACTTTCGTAAATTCTCAAAGTTGGTACATTTAGTAAGGGTATAATATTTTATGAGAATTTAATTTTATCCACGTTTGTTATTATTTTTCGTCTGTGTTTAAAACTGCTCAACATTGTCATTCAAATGTTCATTCTAAGGCAACATCCAAATGTGGTATAAAGTGATTGGCAGCTTTTATGTGTGTTTTTTTTTGGCTCTATGATCAAATTAGTTTGAAATTGTCTGGGTATTCAAACTCCATTTACTGCTGGTCAACGAATAGTTAGACAATATTAGGTAAAAAAAGATTAACAGAAGGTACGAAACACTTCATCTTTTTTATTTGAGCATGATTTCAACAATCAAGGATATATATTATTGCGTACATACGTACGGGACTGTTAAAACAGTTGAATGTACTCTAAATCTAGTGCGTCTGTTATGTTTTGGAGCACATATGCCACACATCAAATCTATTTTCAATGGCTGTAAACTGTTTGATAAATACGTATCTGTAGCATACAAAATTCAGCGATTATCCTTTTTTGTTTTTGATTCAAGTGATAAAAGTATTTTCAATCAAAATAGCAAGTGAAATCGCGTGTTATTGATTGTTATAACTCAAATATGACCTACCGCGTAATCAAAATGCTTGAATATAATCACAGAATAACTATCAAATATTACCGGTCAAAGATTAAGAACTTCTGTGGTACTCTTGATCTAGTGGCACAGATGTTAAACTTTCAAAAATTTATATTCATATGTTGGTTTTGGACCTAATCATTTGTTCATAAAAATTAAAGACAGCTTTAGTCATGGCGATATAGAATAACTGTTTTCTTGTTAAATTAAATGAAGATGATATTTCATAGACAGCTAGAGAGTCTGTGACAAAAAGCCGCTCATATGCGCCGTAGGTCACCGAAATTTTGTGAAAATTTATTCATGAATACAATTGTACAACCCAAGTAAGTCAAGTTGTCGGAGAAGAAAGTTTTTCAATTAACCGTCTCTTTTGGCAAACACTTTAAACAAAAATGAGTTCATCACCTACCCCGTGAAAAAGTACGCATTTTTATCGCTAAGTTTTAACTATCCGTCTGCTTGTGTTTCACACTGATAGAGAAAAATATAAAAGAATAAATAATTTCGACCATTTAAATTCATTAGTCATTACAAAATAATTTCGCTTTTTGTTATTGAATCAGTGATAGATTATCATACAACTCACAGTAGGTGCCGCTATTAGATTGTGTCTAAATGAATAATTGTTGTGCAACCATTCGCTGTCAATACTTCATTAGGTTGTTTTGGCTATATATACTCATATTTTGAGCACAGTGAATTGTGTAGGTTTGGATTAACTTATCTTGGTTTACACAACCCTTACTTGCATAATCTAATAATCCAGTTAACAAGATCGCTTTTTAAATCCAAAAGTTGAATGAGTTAACTGAGAAGATATGCAATCAGACTAATGTTGAATCGCTTGAATCTCATAAATTATACTTGTAAATTAAGATATACATGAATAATGACGAAATCATTTATTATTCATCAGAAATACGAACAAGCTTCTATCCCTCATGCAAATTATTATTCAGCTAGCCTGTTCCTCGTAATAATTCCATAATTCATATAAATTGATTTCTTCTTATCCAATAATTACTTTTAACAAATAATACAATTTTATAGTGGTATTTAAGATCTTCCGTATCTTAACAATACTAGGTTCCTAATGAATTCATCTATTGTGTAAGATAGATAAGAACAATTGTGATGGTCAAGTCGTTTTGATACTTTATTAGCCAATATGAATAGTTTTCACCATTAAATCGGACATACTATATCTAGAAAAAAGCACAAAATCTAGAAAGAAATGGATATCTATCATTACATAATAGCAACACTCTTAACACGAAAAAGGAATATGATTTATTCGGATGAATTTAAAAGATGCAATACAATTTGAATATAAAAATGTATATCATATTGAAGATGTAATGAATAGCCTGATGAAGATGTGTTAGTCATACCTAGTGCTGTATTTAAATGTTTCAAGTCTTATGAACTTTGCTGCAATCGGTAATACCGTTTGTATTTAGATACGTCATACAAAAATATGATTTAAAAGAATTATACAGTATCCAAAATTCCTACAACATGAATGATAGAAATGTATTCAAACAATCAACTATAATCAAATGAGAATATTAGGTTACTTGTACTTTTTAAAACACTTTGTACAATTGAAGCCCCTTTAACTCTAGTAATGTGAAGCAATCACTATTTTATGACATATAGGGACTTTAGAAATGGTTTATTGTAATTTCATTATATCTCATTGAGAGCATTATTTTATGCTTTATAATTCATTGTTTTAGATAGATCTATTTATGATCATTTTGAATCAACTTTTTCCTCATAATTATATTCGTCATCACATATATCGATTCCTTTTAACCAAATAGTACCGATTCATTTCTTATGTAAAGCAAAGTTATTGAATT